TATAAGGAAAACAATACCATTCACAATTAGGCTGAATAAAAAAGTGAAATATCTTGAAACAAACATCAGAAAAGAAGCAAAAGATTTGTCTAATAAAAACTTAATTGAATGGAGAAGATACACAAAGATGAGATCTCCCATGTTCATCTCTTGCTACTATTAGTATTTTGAAAATGACAATTCCATTGAAATCAAATTTCATTTGACATCCCCATCAAAATTCAAACATAATTTTTTGAAAAAATTAATCTTTAATTTCATTCAGAAACGCAAAACTCTCAGGATAGCTAAAACAACACTGAAAAGAAAACCTTAGATATCACCATTCTTGGTTTTTAATTATAGTACTAGTTTATAGTATTAAAGACAGTATGTTAATGAAATAAAAACAGATTCTTTGATCAGTGGAATTAAAATAAGGGCTCAGACACATGTTCATAAACCTTAAGACACCTGATTTTTTACAGAGTTGAAAGGTATATGCTAAAGAAATATAGCATTTTTTAAAAAATACTGTTCACAAAACTGGATATCTGTATCTAGACGAAGAAGACTAGATGTATATTTTTGCTTTGCACAAAACTAAACTCCATATATTTTGAGGACCTCAACATAAGACCTGCTAACTTAACATAGATCTTCTCCCAAAGACTTTCTCACCACCCATCTTTTGTCTCAGCCACCAATTCCCATAAACATTCTGGTGGGAACCTGGTGGCCAAGCCACCCAGAGGAGGTAACAAGCAGGTAAGCATGTACATGATCCTCATATCCTCTCTTTTCTTCATCTTCTACAAATCCTATCCCCTAGTCTCATCCCCAGATCAGTAGGATATCACCTGCTATGGCTTCTCCTCCCTCTCTGTCCCTATTCTCAAAAAAACTAAGCAGATCCTGGTGGCATGCTTTTCTCCTTCCTGTGGACACCCTTGTCTCCCTTTCTAGTCCATCCCCATTCCTAAGGTCAACTCCCTATACTTATAAACACATTCTACCCAGAACCCTCAGGGGCCACACCTGGCAGGATATAAGAAACATTTCCTACCAGGCAGCTACTACATCCTATAAACCAGAGAGGGCACAGAAACCAAAGAACAGAATGCCCACCCAACAAAGATAAGAGCAGACATCAACAACTAATATTATAATTATTCCAAATCCCAATGCCTGGACGCCAGTGTGAAAACACAATCAATGACTATCAGACAATGTCTCCAAGAGGGCCCGGAATCCCTATTACAGTATACCCTGAGAAAAGCAATATACCTGAAGTAAAAGAAAGGAACTTCAAAATTGCATTTATCTATATGTTATAGATGTCCTTAAAGAGAAAATCAATATACTCCTTAAAGAAATACAGACAAACACAAACAAACAGTGGAAGAAAATTGGTAAAATTGTTTAAGACTTGAAAATGGAGGGAGAACCAATAAAGAAAATTCAAACTGAGGCAATTCTGTCATTGAAAAAGTTAGGAATTCAAACAAGAACTACAGAGACAAGTTCCAGCAACAGAATGCAAGAGATGGTAAAGATACTCTCAGAAATTTAAGATACAATAGAAGAAATGGATAAACCAGTCAAAGAAAATATTAGATCTAAAAAAAACTCCTGACATAAAACATATAGGAATTATCAGAACTATGAAAATATCAAATCTAAGAATAACAGGAATCAAGGAAGGAGAATCACATCTCAAAGACTCAGAAAAAAAAAAATTCAACAAAGTCATAGAAGAAAACATTTCCTAACCTAAAGAAAGAGATGCTTACAAAGGTACAAGAAGCATACAGAACAAGAAAAGAAAAGAAAGAATATTAAAAATATGCAAAGAGGAAAAGACCAAGTAATGTATAAAAGTGGATTATTAAAATTAATCCTTTCTTCTCAGTGGAAATTGTAAAAGTCAGATGTGTCTGGACAGATGAGTTGCACACAGATCCCAACCCAGACTACTATACCCAGCAAAATTTCAATTAGATGGAGAAAAACAAAAATACATTTAATGATAAACCCAAATTTATCTATCTACAAATTCAAACCCACAGAAAGTGTTAGGAGGAGAACTTCAACCTAAAGAGGTTAACCTCACCCAAGAAAATACAAAGAATAAATTACATTAGAGCACCAAATCAAAAAGAGGAGAAGGACAACAATAACAAAATGAAAGGAATCAGCAAACACTGCTCATTGATAACTCTCAACATCAATGTTCACAATTGCCCAATAAAAAGACAAACAGAGAGGATTAGAAAACAGGATAGATCCTTCTGCTACATCTAGGAAACACACTTAAACAAGGATGGACATTGCCTCAATTTAAAAGGATAAAAAAATGCATTCCAAGAAAATGGATAAGACAAGCCAGTGTAGCTGTCCTAATATTTGACAAAATAGACCTGAAACCAAAACTAATCAGAAGAGATAAAAAAAAGGATACTAAATATTCATCAAAGGAAAACATCCCCCAAAAGGATATTGTAGTCCTTAATATCTGTACACCAAACACAGGGGCATCCCAGTTCATAAATCACCTACAGTTTAAGTCACACATTGACCCTCACACAGTGATAGTGGGTGACATCAATACCCTACTCTCACCAGTAAACAGGTTATCTAGACAAAAACTAAATAGATATGCTGGACCTAACTAATGTCCTAAACCAGTAGACCCAACAGATATTTACAGAACATTTTACCTAAACACAGAAGAATATACCTTCTTATCAGAAGCTCATAGAATGTTCTCCAAAACTGACCACATTCTTGGACACAAAACAAGTCTCAAAAGATACAAGAAAATTGAAATATCACCCGTATCCTATCTGAACACCAAGAATTAAGGCTGGATATCAAAAAACAGCACAAATCTTGCAAAGTCATGGAAAATGAACATTGGACTGTTGGATGTAAATTGAGTCAAGACAGAAATGAAGAAATGAAATCTTTTAGAATTGAATAAAAACAAAATGAAACATACCCAAACTTATGAAGCAATTAAGGCAGTACTAGGAGGCAACTTTATAGCATGAAGTGCCTATTCTTAAAAAGAAAATGGAGAACTCTCATACTAGTAACTTAACAACATACCTGAAAGCTCTACCACAAAAAGGAGAAATAAAACCAAAAAGGAATAAATGGCAAGAAATACTCAAATTTAGGCTTGAAATGAAAAACAAACAAATACAAAGACTCGTTGAAACAAAGAGTTGATTCTTTGAGAAAAATCAATAAGTTTTGTAAATTCTTAGCCAAAGTAACTAAAAGTCAGGGGGGAAAGATGAAAATTAAGAAAACTAAAGACCAAAGTGGGACATAACAACAGACACCAAGGAAATCCAGAATCATAAGAACATATTTGAAAATCCTATACTCCACCCAACTGGAACACTTAAAACAATGTGTGATTTTTCTCTATATTTATAATCTACTAAAGCTAAATCAAGACCTGGAAAGAAGTATTAACAGAGTTATAATCACTAATGAATTAGAAGTAGTAATTTAAAATCTACCAACCCCAGAATTCTACCAGCCATTCAAAGAAGAGTTAACCCCAATAATCTATAAATGATTCCACAAGATAGAAACACAAAGAACACTGCCTAGTTATTTTCATGAGACCACAGTTATCCTGATACTTAAAGCACATAAAAACCAAACAAAGAGAATTATAGACCAATTTCCCACATGAAATAGCTGCAAAAATACTCAATAAAATATTTCGAAGAAAATCCAAGAACACATCAAAAAAAGATCATTCACCGTGACCTCTTCTTCTAATGAAATGATCGTTTGTTTTTTGTTTTTAATTTTGTTTATATTTCATTACATTTGTAGATTTACATATGTTGAACCATACCAGTACCTGACAAAGAAGAAAGTACAGTATATTTAAACTGTCTCTTTTCTCTAGCAAAGGACATCATTATTTGAATAAAGAGGGAACGTATAGAATAGGAAAGAAAATATTTAATAGCTATGTTACCAAAAGTATTAGTATGTATACTGTACAAGGAACCAAAAAATAAATATAAAAAATAACCCTATCCTAAAATGTGGTATGGAATAAAATGCAGAGTTTGCAGAAGATAAAATACAAATTGCTGGTAATAGTTGTTGATGAGCCAGATTTTGATTCTTGTTTTCAATTATCACTGAACTTTAGAGTCACTAGGGGGAGCTCTTATCCTTATCTATTGGGGAAATATAAATTAAATATTTTGAGATGTCATCTTACCGTGGTTGGTAAGATTCAAATACAGTAATGATGAAAAATGCTGGGGAAAAGGGAACACTTATTTATCACTACTTGGAGTGTAAACTGCTGCAGCCATTATATCAGTGTGGAGGTTCCTCAAAGAGCCGAGAAAGATCTACCACAAAACCTTATATATATTTATCACATATTACATGGTGTTTTTAATATTTGCATTTTATGGTTTCTAAATTCAAGGTAGAAGTGTGTGTGTGTGTGTGTGTGTGTGTTGCCCTACTTCATATATAATTTTAATGTGAATAATCCAATTTTTTTCTAATAAGTATACTCTAAAAAGACCTCTTGAATGAATTTCTTCTACATGATTGAAATTTTGTATTTTGACCTGCTCTGAAGGGCGTTGTTATTGATGATGACAGTGATTTTGCTACAAACATTTAGTAACTACAAGTCCTACAAATCTGAAAAATCTGAAACAATAATGTTGTTCAACACTCTAAATGTCAATAGTGCCTTAATGAAAAGCAACAATGCTTTAAATTGTTTTAGGACACAGAAAATGTGCCACAGAAAGGGTGAACAGGTACCCACACTCACATAGTGAGATGTGAGAGTAAATATGTCTCTGGAAAATGAAACCTGTGTTCTCCCCATGAGTGCAAATCCATTATATTGGGTAAGCGCAGTCTATGTTCTTATTTTGGATGGTGAAATACAGTGTACATGTGCCCTGATTGTGTTGTGTTTAATTTCTTTCTTTTTCTCCAATTTTTGATGGTTACAGCTGAGTTTGGTGATTATTATCCTGATGAACATCCTGAGAATTACATCAGTGAGTTTGAGATTTTCCCCAAGCAGTCACAGAAGTTGGAAAGAAAAATCATGGAAATTCATAACACTGAACTCAGGTAATTTGGGTGAAGATATAAAGATAAAAGAACATTCTTACTATGTAAAAAATGAGAATCATGTGAAACCATACTATTTGAAATGTTGAGGAAGCTTCAGGTTGCAGAGAAACATTCCCTGGCACTACAAAAGATGACTTAGCATCTCAATTATTGTAAGATGTTTCCAAGATAGTGCCTATGAGTGAACATGAAAAAAAGCTATGTATTTTCTTATGCAGATATATTCCTAGCCCGTCTGAATTTCTGGAAATGTATCTGAGGTTAATGAGCCATCTTTTCCTATTTGAATCTTGCTTTTTTCCTTTTTTGTGGCCCTTACTAGAAGTGTTGACTTAAAGTAGAATTGAATTCATTGAAAAGATGTCAGATTTTGTTGACTCCTAAGGGAAGACCTCATGCTTTCTAAGGGGTGGGTGGGGGTGGGTTGAGGGGAGATAGCCAGAAGAGCGGGAGGGAGGGGGAACTGTGGTTGGTATGTAAAATGAATAAAAAAACTTTAAAAAGAACTCAAGGTGATGACATTTAATGTATGTTATTCTGTTTCTTGTCTCTAACACTTCAGAAGAAGAACTTTAAAGTAATAACTGTCAGAGAACCAAATTGAATAGAATATCATGGAGTGCCACACACCATGCTATTGCACACATTGAATTCACTGTTGTGAATAATCTTCACAACAATATAGGAAGGAGATACTATGGTTTTTTTTCTTTCTTTTTTCTTTTTTTTTCTCGCCATTATTTGTATAGGAAATGGGTCCAGAGAGGTTAAAAAACTTGTATATTTGTGAGATTTGAATTCATGCATCATTGACTACTTGTAATTCAGGTAACTTAGGTATGCCAGTCTGCAGTTAGTTGGAATTTAGATCCTGTACAAATCACAGAAAAAAAAAATGTGATAATAACTATGCTATGATGATTAACATGAAGAACTAGTTTTCTCTCCTCCTGTTGTATGGGCCTCTAGTAATCAAAGTACCTGGGGTGCTCTTTTTCTCTCTCACACACACAATATGTGTATGGCTACTCAAAGTGGCAGCATATTTCAGATTATGAATGATAACCTTTATTTTTAGAATACTTAGACATCACAGCATTGTGCCAATTTTAGGAAATAATATACTGTTTCTATAGCTTAACTTAGAGAATTTGCTATTAAAGAAAATGATTTGGAAATTTATACAGAATATTCACTATTGTTTCTATATTTTAGAAATAAAGGTACTATGTAGAATAATGAACTGTAGTATTCCAGTTGATGGAAGTGTGGTATAGCATTATTCTTCTTAGGAACCAAATGGTGAGAGTTATTAGATGAGTAAGTTGCATTCATTGCATGGATTTGTAGAAAAGGTAGATCTTCTGTGGCTAGAATTTGCACGACTCTAAATTCTTGATGAATATTATAAAGACAAACATTTATTGAGCATTTCCAGGATAGCAAAATATAATGCAAAGAGGTTTCTGAACATTATTCTATCCCATCCTTCCAAAGGAGATAGTCACTATTTGTGTGCCTGTGAGGGTCAAGGACATAGATCTTGAAGAAGATAAAAAATGTTTCCTGTTAGTTAACATTAATGTCTGAACATGGTCCATTGGTTACCCAATACTAATGCCCACATATTACTTCCGTTCTGGGCAGTTTTTAGGAAGCAAGTAGTCATCCAGGTGTTAGGGTAGCAATGAGGCCTGAGAAAGTGTAAGGACAATAAGACCACAGATGCCAATTGTGGGTGTCTGAATGGAAATGTCCATCATATGCTTGTATATTTGAAGATATGAATACCAGTTGGTGGCACTCTTTGGGAATTCTTAAGAGGCATGGCATTATTGGAGAAAATATCTAACTGGGGGTATGCTTTGAGAATTTATAATATTGGTGTCATTTTCATTTTCTCTCTCTCTCTGCTTCTTGTTTGTGTGTTAAGAAACAGCCTCTCAGTTTACTGCTCAAATACCACATTTGGTGACTACCACACTCCCATGATAAGATACTGGTGAACTCTTATTCCTCTGGAAACATCAGCCCAAATAAACCCTTTTTTCTGTTAGTTGCTTCAGTCATGGTTTACCACAGCAGTAGAAAGATAATTAATGCACCAACCTATAATGCTATGCCATGAAAAACTGCAAGAGTTGAAGGAGAAAGAAAAAGTTTCCATGATATAAACAGAATAAAAGAATTCTTTTCCAACACACCAGCCAAAAAAGAATATTGGAAACAATACTTCAGACTGAAGACAGAAAAAAAAAAAAAAACATTATCAAGAGACAATAGAAAGAAAACAAATGAACTGTGATTATGAAGACACAAAACAGGAATAAGAATTCAAATATTAGAAAAAATGATAGCAGTCAACACATATTTTTGAATAATAATTTTTGGTTGTGAGCCTAGCCTTTAATAGCTGAGCCATCTCTCTAGCCCTGAATAATAATTTTAAATGCTAGCAGCCACAAGATCTCCTGAGCATATTGAAAGCATGGAGGGAGGGGAGAAGGGGTTAAGAGAAAGAGAAGGGAAGAAGAGACAGGGAGAGGTAGGCATGAGTGAGCAGGAAGATTGAGACATGGAAAGAATAGAGGAGAACATGAAAAGAGATAATAGAGGGAGCCATTATAGATTTAAGGAGAAATATGGCACTAGGAAAATACCCAGAGATCTACAAGGATGAACCCATCTAACAATCTAAGCAATAGTGAAGAGGCTATCTTTAATGCCCTTCCAGGATAATGAGATTGACGACTACCTTAAATGCCATCCTAGAGCCTTCATCTAGTAGCTGATGGAAGCAGAAGCAGACACCCACACCACTGAGCTGAACTTCTAGAATCCAGTTATAGACAGGGAGGAGTGATGAGCAAAGGGGTCAAGACCAAGCTGGAAGGACCCACAGAATCAGCTGATCTGAACAAGGGAGAGCTCATGCACCCCAGTGTGATAGCTGGGAAACCAGCATAGGACCCACCCAGATCCCCTAAATGTGGTGTTAGTTGAAAGGACTGGGCAGTCTATGGGGCCTCTAGTAATTTGGGAGCCCATCCCACATAGAGGGATACTTTCTCAGCCTAGACACATGGGGGAGGGCCTAGGCCCTGCCTCAAATGATATGATAGACTTTGAAGACTTACCATGTAAGGCCTCACCCTCCCTGGGGAGCAGAAAGGCTGAGGTTTGGTGGGGGGTGATAGAGGAGGATGGGAGGGTGAGGGAACTGGGATTGACATGTAAAACAACCTTGTTTCAAATTTAAATTTTAAAAAGTTAAAAATAAATAAAATAAAATTATACTTTCATCCTTGAAAAAATCAAAATACATCTTAAAGTAAAAGGATGGGAAATTCAAAGAAAATCAGATAAAAAAGCAAGTAGGTGTTAATATATTAATATAAAAAATAAATAATTCTTATTTCATCTGACAAGTAGAAATCAGAAAAAATATGGGCTTCAACTTAGAAGGGCTTACAGAGGACAATGCAAAGGGAGACGGAAAGAAGAAGGATACATAACAAACACTATAGATATTTGAAAAAGTCCTAGGACATAATTTTATTCTTACCTAAAATTACATATTATATAAAATTATCTATATATCTATATATAGTAGACAGATTAGGTAGATATATGGATGGATAGAGAGATAGAGTATAAATGGAGTTATGCCATTGGGATAATATTACTCCCCACAAGACCCATAAACTACTTAGCAAAAGCCATTTTAACAGTCATGAGAAACTTCCTATCCAATTATTGGTTAGGAGAGCCCAAGAGACCTCTCAGACAATACAGATCATTTTACTTGCCCTTGGTAGCCTCCAAAATTTTGAAGAAACCATACACTTGGAACACAGGACTTGGCATATCAAGATACAAGTGACCTGCCAGCCTCCTCCTTGAAGACTAGCTTTTATAGAACTTAAACAGTGTTATGCAAGGAGATGTCAATGGAGAAAATAAATGAATAGTCATACCCAACTGCAGTGCCTATGAACCACAACAATTTCCAGCATGGCAGGATATACTCAGAGGTACACTAGTCACAACTAACATCTGTCTAATTGGACTTGAATCCAGTCTAATAGGACAGAATTCATGCCTGGTGATATAAACCTTACCCATGACTGGTGAGACATCAGAAGCTAGAGGAGAACTTACACCACCATTTTCCTAAACCAGTATAATTCTCAACAGCATGAAAAATACTTATAAACACAGAATAGAGTAGTTCTCAACCCTCATCATATTTGCCACATTGTATCTAATGTTGAACATGCAGATAAGTGATTTCCATATATATCATCTTTCTCTTAGTCAAAGATTAGAGAAGACAGGCTGGAGGTTTTCCTTCCCAGTTCAGATACTTAAAGCTATGCCATACTGGTCTCCTCTAACACTAAATAAGAAAATGAAGTAATCATCAGAGTAATATTATTTTATTTTTTCTTGGATCTAAGGACAAACAAATAAATTAAAATCTAGCATGTCATATGAACCAAAAACTCATAACTGCTGTTGCTGTTGCTTTTGTTGTTATTTTCAAACTCCTCAAAGAGGAGCATGCCACAAATATGAGTAAGAGCAAACAACCAAATATCTCATCTGTTGGACAGCTAAAGTATTCTTCTCTGAGATACCACAAATACCAGTCAGGGCAGGGCACTTGTCTGTGGTGAGTCTGGGATTTGGGGAAGAGTATGATTTTACAATGCTCAGAGGGCTAGTGATGGGCCTGAAAGACACATGAGTTTCTCTACTGACCTCAGATTCTACAGTCAAGCTATAAATCATATACTCCCAGGAACATCTTAAGTTAAGATCCAGCATATACTGAAAGTCAAATATTAACAAAATGTCCATACATCTGAAGCCAGATGTAAGGAAAACTTTAAACTGCATCAATGTAGGATACCTAAATTCCCAACCAAGTAGAAATACCACTGCTCCGAATGAGTTGTTTTATTGCTCTTATTTCCCTGAATTTAATTCTGGAGTTTCTGTATGGAAATGGGTCAGGCAGAGCCAAACCCATCCCTTTCTCTGTGTGTACTTTATAATCAGTTCCGATATGGCTAGCAATAGTCGATATCTCATTATAAATTAATGGTGACTAATAGCCATTTATTCTCAGGAGCTGTATGTTTTATATTATCTGTGAAGGAATACTCAAAGAAGGTCAATATGAGAGAGACTAAGATATAATTTTCAAGAATTATATCTTAGAATTGCTGTCTGTTAAAAAATAGATGCAACTAATCCCTGGTTCTTTATTTTCTCAATGTCTCATTAGAGAAGCTTCACCTTGCAGAAGATTTTTATTTTATGCTTTCATATTCAAAGATTTTTCAGAAGCAAATGTCCAGTGCGAGAGTACAGGAACAGGATTTAATTACTTACTGTGAAAACAAATTATTAAATGACTTGTTTCTCAATAATTGGGGCTCTCGGGAGCAGTTTGTTGAAATCCTGCCTTAGATGCTATGGTTCTATCCTGTTGCCTTCACTGACATTTGCACTGATGTTACTGGGTCCTAATGACTCCTGGGATAGGCGGTGAGAAGGTGTGAAGTCAATGACACAGACCTCAGGAGTCAAGAGAAAGGAAAACAGCAAACTTTTTTATTTAGCAATGGATACAAACTTTTATACTATTCCAGCATCCAGAAGTACTGATCCTTTGACATTGCAGTTTCTCCCCATTGGCTAGGCACTATTAGGACCTCTGGCAGCTCCTGTTGCTAGGGCATCAGGATCGTGTAGTAGCCCCTCATTGGCTGGACAGGATCAGGACCACTGACCATGACTGTCAAATCCCAGGTGGGCTCTCTAGGTCTGGTAGGCCTTAACTTCCTACATACTGAGTCTTTCTGTATAAATTTATCAACTAATTGATTCAGGTGCTTGCTAGCAGAAATTTGCAGATAAACCCAAGCAAACTGATGTGAAGATTTATGTTTAAAGATGAGTTTGTGCTTTCTTATATCTAAATGTCCTAACTGACACTTCCCCTCAGCAGGTTTTCTGGTTTAAGTCATGTTCAGGAATAATAATGGAACAAATACTAAATTTAGGAGGAAGAAAACGGAAAAACAAAACAAAACCAATTGAGCCTAAACCTCATGTGAAATAACAATTGAGAAACAGGAACAAGGCTGAGGACATTCTCCCACCTGACTGAAGAATATACAATCAAACTGTTGTAACCAAAACATCATGATACTGGCTGGAATAAAGCAGACACAAAAACAATGAACCAAAACAGGAAGCCGCAAAATAATCTGATGCACTTCAGTCAATGATATGCAGCAAAGAGCCCAAAACACAAGATAGTTAAAAACAAAATAAAACAAACAAACAAACAAAAACATTGTCTTAGCCAGGCAGTGGAGGAGAATGCCTTTAATCCCAGCATTCCAGAGGCAGATGCAGCTAGATCTCTGTGAGTTAAAGGCTAGCCTGGTCTACAGAGTGAGTTCTAGGACAGCCAAGACTGTTTCACAGAAAAACCCTGTCTAAAAAGGAAAAATAAGATAAAAAAAAACAAAAACAAACAAACAAAACAAAAAACACAGTCTTTTCAACCTGTGCTTGGGAAATCAAGTATCATCATGCAAATGAATAAAACTAGACCCACAAATTTCATTATTGCACTATTGTCCTAGTTAGGATTACTATTGCTGTGATGAAACACCATGATCAAGAGTAAGTTGGGGAGGAAAGGGTTATTTGATTTATGCTTTAATCATCAAATGATGTCAGGACAGGAGCTCAAACAAAGCAGAATAAACGGGAGCTGATTGATGCAAAGCCATCATCCCTGCTTTTGTATTGTTCTATTTATAATACCCATCTCTCACAGAGAATGCCAGGAGAACTACACAACATCCTTACTGACTTTTGCACCTGGTCACATCTCTAAAAGATCCCATCTCTCAACATTCTAAGGATCAAGCATATAGTCAATGAAAGTATGAAGGGTGAACTTTGTTACATGGACTTGAAAAAAGAAAGATAGAACTTAAAGGCAGATCAAATTTTACAAAAGAATGAATGTATGACTTTTAAAAATGTACTGATAGGAGCTAGGGAGATGACTTAGAGCACTTGCTGCCCTTCTAGAGGATTCATGTTCAACTTTCAGCACCCACATGGCAGGTCACAACCATCAGTAATCCCAGTTTCACAGTATTTAATATCCTTGTTGGCCTCCCAAAGCACTAGGCATGCGTGTGGCACACAGACATACATACAAACAAAACAGCCATACGTATAATAAATAATTTTTAAATGAAAAATAATAAAAATGTGTCGACTATGTCATCATTATGAAAGTAGCCATCTGTTACTTAGGCTGAAGTTTTTCTTTGAAAGCTATCAGAATAGATTGTTGTTTAGTAACATTCAGGATAGCACAGCTTCACTGACTTTGTCCTAAAGCAAGTAGGAGCATGTGTGTGTTAGAAACAGATATCAAAAAGAAAAAGAAAAAAGAGTGGTTGTACTAAAGAGCCAACACAACACTGATTATGATGAAAATGCTCTGCAAACATACTGAAGCAAACGTCAATCAGTAAGAGTAAAGGAAGAATCTTGAATGCTTCAAGGAGAAAGCATGTGGACACCATTTTAATTTAAAGTAAGAATGAGTCCTTTAGTGTATTGAAGGGATCAGGTGACAATCCTATATATACAACCTTAGGTGTAATTAGGTTGAATTGCATAATACAATTTTGTAATTACAATATAAGATGACATTCTGTTTTTCCATAGAATGCACTTCTTGATTAGGAATGGTTTGGATTCTCTGTAGTATGTTGGAGGTACTCATGTTAGTCAAAGCTGAATCTTTGAAACATTACATAATCTTAGTGTGCAAGTCAGTCCTTCCTGAAACTGTATTTTCTAAGTCTCTTTTCCCAGCACCTTGTTTACCAACATAGGGGACAGTTCTAGAACTAATATTTGAGATTTCCTCTGGTGAGCCAGGACTTCTTGTAGAATTGCCTATAAATTTTCTATGCCCAGAATTTGTAGTGGTGGTTAGATAAGGTTGCCCACTTTCAGATCGGAACAAGATATGCCATTCATCCTGGATTATCTTTTAAAATACATAGTAAAGAAGAGATCCTGAGTTTTCTTTTTTATTAGGTTTAATTGGTGGAGATATCCTTTCTGGTAACTTGATACTATTGATTAACTGTACACTCACTATAATTCTAATAATATACAGCAGTGTAATCCTGTAAAATTAGCTACAAAACATGATTCCTAAAGAGCTCTGCATGGTGAGAAATACTGATTACTGATGGATGTACCTAGTGCTATTGACATAAGGATCTTTATATTGTACAGAAAATATTTGATTGATTAAAGGGACTATTTGTTCTTATTGGTTATATTTCATTTGAATTCTCTAAATTGTGTGTGTGTGTGTGTGTGTGTGTGTGTGTGTGTGTCATTTTAGAGGTCAGAGCCCGGCGATCGCTGAATTCAACTTACTCCTCAAAGCTCATACATTGGAAACTTACGGGGTGGATCCACATCCATGCAAGGTAACTGCCTCAAACGGTCACCATATAATCATCATTTTGTCCAACATAAAATTATTGGCATGTAGGCCTTGCAGAATACCTTTAGATTTATACAGCCTTACCATAACAATCATTTGGAAGATATAAGGAGTCGGCTATGATCAAATGTATTGGATGTGTCTGAAGTCTGTGCTAGAGACTTGGAAATGCTCACTAATTGTATTGGAGATTAATCAGATTTTCCTAAATTAGTATGTATATAATTATTCATCTACTGGATGATTTACCTCAGAGAGTGAGAATATTCAAACAGGTTCACTTCCAAGGTCTTTACCAACAAAAACAAAGTCATTGGGCCAAGCTTTGCAGACTTTCTTTCAAGGCTATCTTTGTTCCTCTTTGATGCCCATGTAACCACAGAATCATTCTGTACAATAGGCCCCAGTGGGTAGGCTAGGCTATGACTCAGGTAGATAAATTTTATTATAATTCCTGTTTTCCATTCCTGACTCTCCTGACTTACTCTTAGTACTACTGCAGCAACCTGTGCACAGCAGCTTCTTTCTGCCCACCTTCATTTCCTGGGAACTTTGCCTCTTGGTGCAGACCCAAGATACTCCTTATTCACTCCTCCTGCCTTTAAGCCTTAGGTAGGGGTATGTTTTGCAGATGTATCCATTAGGACTGGGAAACATCATAAAGATCTACTTGCCCAGAGCTTACCCACCCTATTACCTCAGGCTCTGTGAGCATGGAGGTCAGGGTGCCAAGTGACAGGGTTGTGCTATGATGGTGCTATTTCTCTACCTTGACACAGAAAGCTTCTTCTTTTTCTGCCTATACAGTTATTTTATATTTCCCAGGTGTCTCTAGTGATGACATAAATATGCTTATTTCATTCAGTGACTTAGATTCTTTTCAGGAATGTTTTCCCCTATGTTTATTTTCTTGTTTGGAGACTGGGTTTTTTCTTAACCTTAAGTCAACCATGAATTGCTTGGAAATTCAGGATTGGCTGGGAGTTAAGGGGGCTTTTCCTGGTGACTTTTATACTAATAATGTCAGAAATTCTACATGTGGTTGAATCAGGTTAGCAGAAATGGCCTAAGTTTTGGTTTCCTTGCAATAGAGAGCTCATGGCAACCAAGAATAGTTGGCTGGCATCGCAGAGAAGATCCAGAGCACATGCAATTCAAAATACTGGAAACTAGAGTATTTGGAAGAAATCTGTATTTTTATATAGTTCCTGTTAGGGCAAGTTTTCTCTCTCTGGAAGAAAACCAATACAAAACCCTAGATTTTTCTCAGAGTTTGGAAGTCATGTTCTTGGGAATTCCATCATATGGCTCTAGTTGATGGCCTTGGTTTGAATTAACCCAAGATGAAGGAAAATGAGCATGTAAATTAAATTATATTTTTCAATCCAAATGTTCTTTATTTTCTTTTCTTTAGGATTCAAGAGGTGCTACAGCATTTTTAGGATTCACTGCTGCAGGGTTTGTGGTATTCCAAGGAAATAAGAGAATCCATTTGAGAAAATGGTAAGTACATCTTTGGAAAAATGGCTTACCTTTTTCTTGATCTTCCTCCCTTTTTCTTTAGCATTATATTTCCAATCACTGTCAGGTAGTGTCCTGCTTAGCTTATACTCCTTAGTGTGTTTTTGTTGGCTTTTGTCAACTTGACACAAACCCTGGCTGTACCTGAGAAGAATGACTCTCCACTGAAGAAATTTATCAGTTAAAATGTCATTAACCCATTACTGTCATTTTCTTGATGGCTATTTGATGTAATAAGGCCTACCCCACTGTGGTTTATCACATCCTTATGCAAGCAAACCTGTGTTGTATAAGAAAGGTAGCAGACCAAGCCATTGGGACAAGCAAGTTGTATTCCTCCATGGTCTCTGCTTCAGCCCTTGCCTCAAGATAAGGAAAATGTATTTCAAAAAAATGGTGCTAGGAATAGGATCTTTCTGGGACACACTTGCACAGGTATTTACTTTGAAGAAGATTGTAACAGGATTTTGGAGCTTCGAAACACAATAGAGATTGACTGTCTAGAGCATAATGAGCTACTCTGTGGAAAATTGGAATATAATGCTGAAAGCAATGTAAACAAAGGAGGGTTGGCTTGTAAAGTTTTAGGAGAAAAGATTCTATCATGGTTGTTTATATGATGCTTTGTGTTAAGACTCTGTGGAAAGGAAACCTTCTTTGCTTTACGGGAACAATTAATAGTTATCTGGGACTGAAAAATAAGTTGTTATTAATAAGACCACCATCATTGAGGTGAAATCTTTTAGGAAGTATTTCTTCAGGATCAATACACAGAAGCTGTGATCCAAAGAGGGCCAAAGCTGCATCTCAACCTGAAAGCCAAGCATGTTAATAGATAAGAGTCTCCCATATCATACTGCTCTTGAATACATAAGGATGATGAATAATAGCTGAGGCTTGGCACTACGTGGCAAATTCAGAGTCCATGAAGAAGGTCCAGGAGCAGCCATATGTAATGATGCAATAGAAAGAGCAGGACTGAAGAGGTCATGGAGAAAAGCCGAGGGTTGGCAGCACATGCCAGGCTTCCTTTAGTGAAGCCAGGTAGCTATCAGAAGAAGTATAGTCTCAGATGCAGATACCACGATCATGAGGTGACCACCAAGGACAGTGGCAGGTGTAGAGTGAAGCATGCTGAGCCTCTGTGTGTACTATTATTGTAGAGCTAGAGTGATGGTGCTACCCAAGCCCTCGGGAGCCCCAAAGATCATGAGTGAGTCCCAGCTATTGGACACTGAGCTATTTTCACAGTGTCACAGTTTAAATTTGATATGATTTTTATGATTATTGCTGTGCCCCAGTGCTTTTGGTTTTTTAGAAATAAAAATGGTGGCATATTTTGGATTTTATAGGAGCCAACGGTAAAGTTATTGAAATTTTTAAAGAGAACTTTGACTTTTAAATTATTGTAATATTTGTAAGACCCTGAGGCTTTAATTTATTAAAAGTAGGACTGTGTTTTATATTGTGATATGAGCATGAGATCTTGGGGACAAAATACAGAAAAGTTATGATTTAACAATAGTACATTTGTTGCCAAGTAAACAAGGAGGAAATTCTGCTAGCTAGTTTTTCTCAATTTGACCTAAAATTCTAGACATTCATGGGAAGAGGGAATCTCAAATGAGGAATTGTTTCTATCAAATTGGCCTATGGGTATGTCAGTGGAGGCATTTCCTTAATTATTACTTAATGTAGAAGGGTCCAGGTTATACTTAGTGGTGCCACCTCTGATTGATAGGCCTGGGCTGTATAAGAAATGTAACTGAGCAAGCCACAGGAGCAAGGCAGTAAGCAGCATTACTCTGTGGTCACTGCTTCAGTTTCAACCTTCAGGTTCCTACATCAAGTTCCTGTCATATTGGCCTCCCTTAGCTATTATTTGTAAGTCTAAAATGAAATGAATCACTTTTCCCCACAGAAGTGGATATTTTTTTGTTTTATTTATTTTTTTTAATTTTTTTTCTTTTTTTTTTTTTTTTTTTTTTTTTTTTTTTTTTTTTTTTTTGTCAGAGTGTTTATCACAGACAGAAAAGCAAGCAAAGCAGAATATCTGGAAGATAATCTAATCTGAGAAATATCCTAAATTAGATAGGCCTGTGGACATTTCTGTGGGAAATTGTCTTGTTAGTTATTATACGAGGGGCTAGCCAACTGTGGACAGCAGCATTCCCTAGGCAGATAGTCTTAAACTATAAGAAAGCTATGGCTCCTGCCATACTGATTGGCTGTGAAGTAAAGTCCTTAGTTAGAGCTTGCTGTATGGAAGATAGTGTTGGACTGCCTTCAAAATCCTACCTTGAGTTCCTGCCTTAACTTCTCTCAATGATGGATGATGTCTTCTTGCTGTAACCTGCAATAAACTTTTCTTCCCTTAAGTTCCTTTTGGTCAGAATATTTTTCACATCAATAAAAATAAAAATAAAATAAAATAAAAGTGTAGCCTCATGATAGATCAATTTATAAACTATACAGGTAAGCAGAATTCTAACATGGTTCCAAAGAAAATCCACAACCAATAGTTCTTAAACTATTCAAAACATAGAGTACTTCCAAATCTCTCCTGTGAAGTCAGTATTACTCTAATACAAAAACCAGGTATACACACATGCTCACTCTTAGGGAGAAGGGGAATGCCAATATCCCTGATAAACATAAATTCTAAAATCCTTACAAACTAAATACAGGCATTGATCAAAAGCAGCACATCCCATGATCAAGTTGGCCTTTTCCCAGTGAAATAAATTCAACGTGTGTAAGAAGTAAATGTAATAAACCATATAAATGGACAAAAAATACAAAAATTACATGATCATCTCAATACATTCAGAAAAAGAAAAAAACCTATGACAAGATCCAACATTGCTTCATAACAAAAGTTCTAAAACAAGTAGGAAGGTAGGGAACATATTTGAACATAATAAAGGTTATGTATGACAAATACTTTTTTATTTATATTTTATTATAAATCATCTTATTTTACCTATCAATCCAAGTCTGCTCTCCCTCCCAGCCTTCCATGCCCTCTACTGACCCCTCATCCCCCATCCACTCTCCAGGGAGGGTGAGGCCTTCCATAAAGGATCATCAACATCTGTCAAGCTATTTGGAGTAGGGCCTAGGCCCTCCCCTGTGTATCTAGGCTGAAAGAATATCCTCCCTATAGAGTACCCAGTCCTCCTTGCTGACACCCACATTCAGGGGTTCTGTTTTGGTCCTATGTTGGTTTCCCAGCTGTCAGACAGTCAACATCATCCTAAATAAAAAAAAGAAATCCTGAAGCAATACCATTAAAATCAGGAATGAGAAAAAACTGCCCACTATTCCCACGACTTATCAATAATATGCTTGAAGCAGTAACTGGAGCAATAAGGCAAGAAAAGGAAATTAGGGAGATACAATAGTCAAATTATTCTCAACTGAAGATTGTATGACTTTATACCCAAAAGATCCCAAAATTCTCCCAGAACATTTCTGGGAGCAAACAATAATTTGAGCAAAAAGTTAGGATACATAATTGAGTTACAAAACCCACTAGTCTTTGTATATGCCAGTAACAAACATTCTGGGAAAGAGATCATGGACACCTCCTATTCCCAGTTTCTCAATTAAAATAAAATATTTAGAATAAACCAAACAAAGGAGGTCAAAAACATATACAATGAAAACTTTGAATCTGTGAAGAAAGAGAATGAGGAAGATATTAGAATTTGAAAAGACCTCCCATGTTTATGGTTTGGTAGAATTAACATTGTGAAACAAACCTTCCTACTGAAAAAATTTACTGATTCAGTACAATCCCAATCAACATCCTCATTACATTCCTCACATAAACAGAAAAAAAAATCCACAAATTTATATGGAACAACAAAAGACTCAAAATAGCCAATTAATCCTATGTCAATACCTGTTCCTAAGCATTCATCTATATTTAAGTGCTAGATTTATCTAAGACCCCTGACTTTTATATAACATCTGTTCCTACTGTGTCATTGATTTTTAATCAGTCATCTTTTCAATCCTTCTTTGTACCCACTTGTCCTCTTCTTCCACAGTTAGGTATCTTGGAACCCATCCTTAAATTCCTTGTGTCTCAATGTTTTCATCCATAAAATGGGGATTGGATATATATATATGTCTGTCTTAGAAAGGGTGAATGAGTTGGAGGAGAAACAAATGCAATGTTTGTAAGAGCACTTTGGAAATCTAGAGTAATTTGATATCTACAAATTGTTATATGATGTTGCTATCTGGTTTTCTTCTCTAGATTTTCAGCATCTGACAAAGAAGCTCCAATGTGTTTACTTCAGTCAATTCCAGGGTAGATACCATAGATATTCCAACTTAGTTTGGGAAGCATCGGTAACTTGAAGACTGCCCTTGTTCTATCTCAGGACTGCAAAAGTCTTGAAGGGTATTATATACAGGTTTCCAAAATCACTTGAGACCTGGAATGATTTAATTAGAAGTTGCTGCATCTAAATGCAGACTGACTCCCTGTCTTTTCCACTTGACATTTTGTGGAGGGGCCATTGGAAAGATGGATGCAAATAGTCTCTGGAGTATTTGTTTCTGTTTTCATTTCTTCAGGTTGCCTATGTTACTGGTACTGTGTTCATGTGGATCCCATTCTTTCTGGCTTCTTCTTAAACATATTTATTTGTTATGGCCCTGCATCTCTTGCTAAATCAAACTGTCTTCTCATGTAAATCACAGTTGTGTTTTTTTTTTTTTAATCCAGCTTTGTTACCATTTCAAAAATTCTATACTTACACTAAAACAGGCGAATAAAACCCTGTTTCCTTTCTCATGGGAAAAATACTATCCTAGAAATTAAATAACAGAGATTTTTCTAAATCCACCCTTTGTTTCATTCATCAAGAAAATGACCATCAATCTACATTCAAATCAGGTTACAACAAATAGCCTTTGGAGGTAAAATCAAGGTTGTCTTTTAACCATAATTTTTTTTTTTTTTTTTTTTTTTTTTTTGGAGAATTTCAATGTGGACAGGAGTGATTCTTTTGAAAATTTGCAATGTGGTATATATTCTTCCTAGAGATGGATGGAGAATGGGAAAAAAAATGAAACTTTGAATCCATATTATTCTACTAACGTTTTTCCTACTTCTCAAAGTAAGATCACCAATTAATGTTTCTGTTGCAAATGTTTATAAACAATTTAAGAAGAAATAATTCTGAGTTTGCAGTGTATCAACTCTTGGGAAGAAAATTGCTACATAATTTACTTAGAGACCTCCATTCTCAATATCCCATCACTAATAATAAAATATTTTGATTCATTGTAGTTTCCTTGGTATTTGTGATTCTGATAGATTTATATGGCAAAGCTAGGTTCCTTGTTTAACTGTAGTTTGTGTGTGGGGGGGGGGGGTGTTTGTTTGTTTGTTTCTCCTTCTCACACAGAGACTTTTTTTCCTTAGGCCAGATGTCTGCAAATTAAAGTTTGAAGGGAAGACATTTTATGTGATTGGCACCCAGAAAGAGGTCAGATACTGATTTTATAATTACTTGATATGTGTACATATGCAAATGTGTATGCATAAGAGAGATCCAAGAATAAAATAGTTTTTAGTATGGTTGCCCCTATTGGAAATATTTTAATGCTATACAAGGTAATGGTAATCTACCGGTAAGAATGAAGTGAATGAGCAATGTCCACTGTATAAACCTACGTAAAAGACAGATCGCGATAAACTTTATTCATTAAATATAAAGCATGGATTCTCACCAGAAGTCTTTGTCTAAGATACAGATAAATGAAGCAGAAGAGAAATTCTTATACAACTAGACATCAATCAACACTAGATAAAGTGTTATGGCCACTGTGTATATGCCCAAGTTGTTTTTCTGAAGAGATTTTAACAATCATTAAATATAGCTTATGGGCTCACCAGGAAATGGACTTGATAGAAGACTATTACTAAAATATTGAACATTAAAACTAGGTTTGAAGTTTGCTAATTTTCTTGACTTTTGTTATTGACTGAAATGTCCCTCCAGTGTGATAAGTAATTTTGAGATTAATCAAGGTTTGGTAGAGATGACTGGAGTATTAGTGAAGTTTGTGAATCATCTTGGCATAGAATTTAAATAGATTTTTGATATCTGATGGGTGAATAAAAAGCTATACTGATTCAACTTCAATGAATACGGTAATATGGGAAGGATTGCTGGAGAAGGCTCAATGTATTTACTGTGGAGCCACAATGATTTTAGTTTGATACCCAGAACCCACATAAAAACCTGTGCACCCAGCCCAATGTGAAGGAGAGCTATTCACGAGCTAGCTGGCTTGCCATTCTAGTTGAAATGGTGCACTCCAGGTTCAATAGAGACTGTTTCCAAAGTAAGTGTTGAGGGTGGTAAAGGAATACACTCAACACCAACCTCTTGCCTTCACACAGGGATGCATATAGACCTACATACCTAACCTACCTCCATGTACATATAAAAAAAGTGAATGAAAAACTTGGATAATATAAACTGTGTTTAACATACCCTTTCTTATTACTTTTTATTAGAAAAATTCTGTCTTGGCCTTCCATACTTCGACACCAGCTGCCTGCAAACATCTATGGAAATGTGGGGTAGAAAACCAAGCCTTTTATAAGTAAGACTCTTGTTTTCATTTTGATTATAGGTTTTTAAAACACTCGTGGATCCATTTATGCCCTGCCAATGACTATATACTCATTTTGTTTAATGCTGTTCTTTGTATTTATTCTATTTAAATGTAATATAAATTTAGGACATAATTATACACATCTAACAAAGGATTAGTGTCTAGAATATTCAAAGAACTAAAACATAAACAAAAAATGAACTACCCAATTAAAACTGTACTGTGGAACCAAACAGAGAGTTCTCGAAGAAGAAATTCAAAGGCTAAGAAGTATTTTTTTTCTCCTTTTTAAAAAATGTGTTCTTTTCTCATACAATATAGCCCAACCGCAGCCTCCCCTCCCTCCTCTCCTCCCAGTCAGTATCCCTTATCTTCCTTGTTTACCAGATCCACTGCTCCTCCCTTTCCTTTGAGAAAAGAGCAGGCTTCCCAGGGATATCAAACATGACATAAGAAAATGCAATAAGACTAGGCACAAACTCTTATTTCAAGGCTGGATGAGGCAATCCAGTAGGAGAAAACATTCCTGACTGCAGGCAAAAGAGTCAGAAACACCCAGACTCTCACCGTTAGGAGTCCCACAAAATCCACAAGCAAAAAAACTACAACCTATATGCAGAGGACCTAATGCAGACTCATGAAGGCTCTATGAGCCCCTATAAACCCTGCTTAGTTGATCTGTGCCATGTTCTCCTAGTTCTCCACCCTCTGGCTCCCACAATCTTCTCTCCTCTTCTTCTGTGGGGTTCCTGGGCTCTGCTGAATGTTTGGGTATGAGTCTCTGCATCTGTTTCCATCACCTGTTGGAGGGAGCCTCTCTGATGATAATTGAGCTAAGCACCGATCTATGAGCATAGCAGAATATCACCAGGAATCATTTCATTGCCTTCCAATATCGGGCTCAGAGTTACTCACTGCCAACATTATTCTCAGTTGATGAGATCTGCTTCTGACCACAGTGGGTCTTTCACTATACATTTCCCTGACAGAGGCAAGGAACCAGCCATTGGCACTCTTTTGCCTTTTTGGTGTCTGCCCCTTCTGTTCTCCATAACCATCTCTCTGAGCTTTACCTCACCCTAATCCTGTGCCAGACAAAACTGTTTTTCTGATCTGTGGTTGGTCTCCCTCCTCAGTTTCTCAAAGTAGCTCAGTTTTTAACAATAATCTCTCTGTCAAAATAGTTCTAGCTATTGCTTTTCAGGTTATATATAATAATGCAATGGAATTTCTTAACACCTCTGGCTCACCCACTGGAAGAACTACTACAACAGTAAAGTCAGAAACTGGATTTGAGGCTAATGAGTGCTAATATGGGTTTGTCCAGAAGGTAGAATTGCCAGTTTCTTGTTTGGTTTTTACTTGGAAGAATCTGCTTCTAATGAAGCTATATTGTTGAAGCTGATTTGTGTTTCTTATTTTTCTTAATTTTATATATGTGTAATATATGTGTACACACACACACACACACACACACACACACACACACACAATAACTGTCTCACTCTCTTCTTTCAGATTCCTTCTGTGTCCCACCCAAGCTCTCAAATTCATCACTCTTTTCTAGTAATTAGTATTGTTAATAAATATGATTAAATATATAGATAAAACCTGTTGATTCCATTTTGTGTCCCAACTGTCATAATTACCTGTAGTTCTTCATCTAAGCATGAATTTGGTAAGATTTTGCAGGGAGGGTTGTTTGGGGTTTGGAGAGGTTTTTCATTATGGGGAGAGTTGTATTTCAGTATTTCAAACCGTTCTGAAATGTGAAATGGCTGTTCTTTCTAATTTTTTTTATAAGGCTTGAAGTGACTAATATAGAAGCATCCTCAGCCGTCATCGTAGCTTATGCCCCACTATGAGGAAGACCATGTTCTTGAGTTCTTCCCAGAGTGCTTGTATTTTGTTCATATTTATGTGTATACTCCGAGGTTATTGAATCAGTAATGGAATGGGCTTCTTATACTTTTGTATCCTAGAAATCTGTCTTTTAAAGAGCACTCATGGTGATACATAGCTATTGTCCATACTGTGATGACCTGGACCCATTTCCATTGCTAAAACAGCACATGAAAAAGAGTTCTTTATAATGGGTTCTTTGTAATAGTGAATGACATTTCTGGCTAGAAAGCTGCTTTCTGTTTTGATATTTACACACACAGTTCCCAAAGTGTTCCCATCATTAAATAAATTTAATTATGCCATATTACATAATTATCTTTATATCTCTCAACTGTGAATGAGGGAACAATTCCTTCTATTCATCAACATTGCCTGAAACTTTTTGAAAACCAGACCTACAAATGGAGTATAAAATCCAAGTGTGAGTTGTGACTAGTGTTCACAAATAACGAAAAGGAATAACACTAATCAGTGAACATAGCAAATTACAATGTACATAAAATTTCTACTCTTTTGAGAAACTCCTTCAAAACATGTGTATACGTGCTTAGTGAACATGTAAAATGGATATTTTTCCCCTAGAAGTCCAAGTGAGTGATTGCCACAACTCTACTGTGTGTCCTATTTGATTTTTTTTCAATGTCACTACCACCTCTGCTATGTTTTTCTTTAAAGGTATGCCAAGTCAAGTCAGATCAAGACTGTGTCAAGCAGCAAGATATTTTTTAAAGGAAGTAGATTTCGATATAGGTGGGTAAGGATAGATCCATTGCAGTGATGGGTAATGGAGGGCACTCATTTACATTAGCCTCTTTTAGCTGTAGATATTGTGCTTATGACCCTTTACTAGCCTATTACCCATTCCATTGAGTTATTCTCCTTACTGGGCAACCTAAACCTCCCCATAAGTTTTCCTCATGGAATAAATAAGCCATAGAGCCAGTTTGGGAGCATGTACAGACCCATCCCCATTTCTTTGGAGTGTCTACTCACATATGTGTATTTGTGTATTTTATAGTGGTAAAGTTGCCAAAGAGGTTGTGGAGGCAAGCTCCAAAATCCAGAGGGATCCTCCTGAGGTGCACAGGTGAGTAGGGTGTTCCCTTCTGGCTTGGGGAGGGTGCTTCATTGATAGACAAAGGCACTGAAAAGCTAGGATAACATGCATGAGGCTCTGACTTCATTCTACAACAACACAAAAATAATTTTTATCCTAACTTTTTGTTTTTGTTGGGTTTTTTTTTTGGTTTATTTATTTTTTTTTTATCCTAACTTTTCTTATTCCTCTCTTATGTCTTATGTATAATGACATACAACATAAAGTCAAGACATTCACCTCCACAGAAATCTCCCTCAGATTTGGCAGGGATGTGGCCTGAGGGCATGTTTAGTTCTCTCATAGGTAACTTGATATGCAGATAGGTATCAGGTCTAGAATGCTGCATTACTAAGCAGGAATGTGCCCTTGGATGGCTCTGGCTAGCTCTGTCCGCTCTGTCACTCTGTCACACTGTCCTTATAGAATAGGTCTAACAATATATTGCTCATTGGACATGGTCAGTCTCGCTGCTCTGAGTCCTTCTCTGCAACTGAACAGTATATATATATACATCTCTGGGGAATATCTGGGGAATTTGGAATACCACGAACACATTGGAGGCCTCCTAGCTTCCTCTGTCCCTGAGAAATGAACTGACCAGAGCCATGCAATTACAGCAGAGCAGTGACAATTTGTTAGGAAAAGATATAGAGTTCCCAAAGAAGTGGGATGGATAAAAGAAAAAGGATAGCAGTTCAAAAAGCAACATTATTAGACTTTTTAATATTATACGTTCTTTTGGGTTTATTTACATAGCATAAGGTTTTTCACACATGCTCTGCTACATGAAATGCTACACAAAACCTCGTGCATTTCATGCCCCTAAGTATCCACACAGGCGTCTGTATTTTCATATTATAAGAAGTCACCTCAGATACTTTGGAGTGCCTCTGTACCTGATCAAAGGTTTGATTTGCTTAGCCTTATGGAGAACAAAGGGCTTATTCCAGTCCCTCTCTTTGACGGTGTGTTTTTCCATAAGCTAATTCTGAAACACTTTACATATGGCCTTTCCACTCCCAAAGACCAAACTGTGGAAGGAGAGGCATGACCATTATTAGATTCAGAGTACACACTGTTTAGGGGGACAGAGTCTCCTGTACCCCAAGATAACCTCAGGCTTACTACATAACTGAAGATAACCTTGAAATTCTTATCTTCCTGCCTACCTCCTGCACATTTTCTTCAAAGTAACTATCTTTAGTTAATTCTTAGGAACTGAGTATTTTCTTTGCCAAACTGACTTTACATGACCACAATTTACAAAAACAAATGTATGTCCTAAGCTTCAAATATACTGAATACCTTAAATTGAACACTCTCACTATATCACTCCTTTTAAAATAAAATCATTATAACCTATTTTAACTGTTTAAGTTATGTGACATAATGGGTTTCATTATAGCATTTCCATACACACACATACGTGTGTGTGTGTGTGTGTGTGTGTGTGTGTGTGTGTGTGTGTGTGTATATATATATATATATATATATATATTGTTCTTATTCACCTTCATTCCCCACTGCCCTTGCAAGTCCCACCCTATCCCTCATGCTTCCCCATGAGGCCTCCTCTATTAGCTAAATTATCTAGGGACTTTCTCACAGGAGAGTAAGCACCTGTTCTTCCTTCTTCAACTTTGGAACCTGAAAGTTTTTTTCTTGTATTTCCACATTTGCTGGATTTCCTCCATTTGCAGGAAGATTGGGTGATTTCATTTGTACTCCATTTTGTTGCTGGAGTTATAGGCATCTATACATTACCTGTTTCCAAAAATGCTGACCATAGCCAAAGTCTTCAGAAGATCTGATACAGATGTGTACAGCTTTTGTTTCAGTCCTAAGGCGAGCTCTCATATGCATATCTGTGAAAGTTGTTTCTCCAACTTTAAAAAAATAGAAGAAACCTTCAGGGTTAGAGAGTATAGAAACTCTTGATTGAAGGTACCTTGACATACTATCTAAATATGTTTCAGGCTGCTCAAAGATCAGAAGGGGATTTAGAGCACTCTTCCACTCTCCTAAGCTGTGACCATTTAGCAAAGCAGAAAGGAAGACATGACAATAGAATATATACTTTTGACTTTCCCAGAAACTTTAGATAAGAAATAGCCTTAAGGATCTCTTAGTTTCTTCTTTTTAATTGATTGGAGACTAGGTCATTATCTTAGACATGAAATGTGTTCAAGATGCTATTCTAAAGACCCTTAACCTCTCCAGAGGCACCACATGGTCAGAGCAAGAGTAACGGGTAACACTTTCATGTAATGTTTAATTTCCAAACAGTCATTTGTATGAAAGGACTTGTTTCTCTCGGACCATTTTTTTTTATTTTTTTAAACCATGTTGGCATTTCAATGTGGCTATCAAAAGTAATGAAGTTGTATGTTGTGGGGACTCCAGAAGAGGTTGTTAATCTATCATCATGGCAATGATAAGGCACTAATTTATCATCATTCCTCACACCTAAGATTCTACTCCTCAAAAAAAAAAAAAAATCAGAGTCTCCTAAAATCTTGCTTCTCAAAAAGTGTGTATGTAAAAGAGACAGAAACCAATAGACTGAGAATATTTTAGGATTATTCTTTCCTTCAGAAAGAGAAGCTCACTCTGACGTTAGTTCACTGACCTTTATTGATGGCATGGGAAGATCCTGGGGAAAGCTGTCCTGGGCTGGAGGCTGGGGAAGAATCACTGAGCCTAGCCAAGAGGCCACATCAGATGGAGGGCTGCAACTCGGAGCATAGCATCCACCAACAGGGGACACACAGAACACCCAGATCCAGCAATATACAAAAATGAATAGATTTTAATCTTTGCTACATTGCCTGCCAGCTCTGTGGCCTTGGGTAAGTCACTGCATTTCTTAGATTATTGGTTTACCCATCTATGAAATAAGATTCTTATATTGCCTTGACCTACTTCGAGATTTTGTTGGGGGCTTAAAAGAATGTAAAGTGATCTACACATGTAAAGCAATGATATTATTATCATTCACTGAGAACACAGCAGCTAGGTCTTAGCATGCAGCTCAGTAGCAGAGCACTTGCTCAGCTCTGCAATGCCTCTGGTTTAAATCACAATCTTGTGAAAATGGGGAGGTAGAATCTGGAAGATACATTCATATTCAAAGACATTCAGAGAGTAGGCCAGCACTACTTCCTTTGATCATAGAATGGTGAATGACTGTCATACACTTCAATGAACTCATTCTGTTTTGTCACCATTTTGAGTCCTGCATTGACTTGTCATCAGTTTACAATCAGTTGTGTAACTTCACTTTTCTCATCTTAGAATACATGCTTTTGTCATGCTGAGAAAAAAAGTCAATGCTGTAAAGTCTACACAAATTACATCTCCCAATGTTAAAATCTATGTTATTGTGCCACAACCAACCTTCTTCCTATAATAGGGTTCTTAATGACAGTTTGATTTGTATATTACTGAACATGAGTGGCTTGTGAAGTAGGATAGAAATTTCTACAGACAGCTAATGGGTGGGATCTATGTAGAAATGTAGCACATGGTTTTACTTAGCATAGGAAGCAGGTACTTCATAATAAGATTTAGGGTCATCATGAAGGTTTCTATACCAGAACCTTGATTTTGATAGTGCAGTTGTGAGGAACTGGGAAAATTAAAACTAAGGCTACATAAAAAGTATTTGAATCATGGAAACACTACCCTCATAGGTGGATTTCATTGCTTGATGCTACTGAGTTCTCTTCTTTACCAAATTGTTATTTTTTTTGAAGATGTTACTATTGATGTTTAATAAGGATCAGGAAAAACAAATAGGCTGGACAGATATTTATTCAGGGAGAAATAACTCACAACATAGAGGAACACCAGCAGGTTCCTGGTCCCAAGGATGCCTCATGATGGTCTCCTGTCCCCATGCTGCAAGCAAGAGAGCTCTCCGAGCCCCTTCCTCAGCCTTAGTCTCCCTCCCCACCCCCATCATGTCCAGCCCTGTCTCCACCCCCAATGGGCATGGTCTATGCCACAGGTGCAGATAAGGTGAATATCTCACTACATGTTACTGCCGCACATTTGCCTTTTTGAACATTGCAATTTGTTTTCTGCATTGTCTACTGTGAGGTTGGCCACCTTACAGCATTCACCATGAGCTAAGACAGTGACTGTACAATGCTTTCAGGATTTTTCCAATTTATTTAGACTTGTGGTCTAAATAAATTCATTTTATTTGTACATGACAAACATTCCATATTTGTTATGGCATCACAGAATTGATTAAAACACTCAGGAAATGAGGAAGTATGGCAAAGTAGAAGCCAATTTGAATCTTGGCAAATTCTTTTTTTAATAATTTATTTTATGTAAATTGGTGTTTTCCAGGCATGCATGTCTGTATGAGGGCATAAGATCCCCTAGAAGAGGGGTTACAGACAGCTGTGAGCTGCCATGTTGGTGCTCGGAATTGAACCTGGATCCTCTGGAAAAGCCACTAGTGGTCTTAACAGATGGACATCTCTCTAGCCCCCTCTTGGCAAATTCTTACAAAAGGGATTGGCACAGGGTAATCTTATATAGCCCCAACTTCAAACTATTGTAAAAACAAATCCCTTTGGAATGCTGTACACTCACTAATGTAGAAAGTGTGGCATAGAACTCCTAGAATCCAGTTGCAGACAGAGAAGAGTGATGAGCAAAGCGGTCAAGACCAGGCTGGAAAAACCCATAGAAATTGCTGACCTTAACAAGGGGCAGCGCATGGACTCCATGTCTGATAGCTGGGAAACCAGCATAGGACTGACCCAGATTCCCTGAATGTGGTGTTAGTTGAAAGGCCTGGGCAGTCTATGGGGCCCCTGGTAATGGATCAGTATTTATCCCTAGTATAGGAATGGACTTTGGGAGCCCATTCCACATAGAGGAATACTTTCTCAGCCTAGACACATGAGGAAGGGCCTAGGCCCTGCTCCAAATGATATGACAGACTTTGAAGACTCCCCATGGAAGGCCTTACCCTCTGTGGGGAGCAGAAAGTGAATAGGATGGGAGTTGGTGTGAGGGACAAGAGAGGATGGGAAGGTGCAGGAACTGGGATTGATATGTAAAACAACCTTGTTTCAAATTAAACAAAGAAAATTATCAAAAAGAAAATGTGGCATAAAACAAAAGAACTAGGCAAAGTTTAGAATCCTGGTTTTGTGCATGTAAACTCTTTGTTTCTATTTAGTTTTATTTTTGAGTATTTCATACTTGAGTATATTAAATCACTTCCCCCTCCCCTCCATTACAACTCCTTCCATGCCCCCACTCTCCATAATTTGCATTATATACATGTAGACACACACACATGTATACGTATACATGTGTGTGTGTCTACATGTATATAATGTTTGCATATGTACACAAACACACATACAAACCTATTGAGTTCATTTAATGTTACTTGTTGATACATGTGTTTAGGGCTGACTATTTAGGATTAGATAACCTATTGGAGGAGTCATCCCTGAAGAAAACTGAATCTCCCTCTCTAGTCAGACATCAATTGCCAATATCTATTCATCTTGGGTGGGCCTTGTGAAATTTCCCTCATCCATATTGACATGTCAACTGATACAGTACTTATGCACATGTCAACTGATATGTTACTTATGCAGATCTTGTCCAGATAACCACATTGCTGAGACTTATGGATGCAACTTCTCATTTATGACTAGAAGATACTATCTTTCAGCAGGTATTCGGGTCTTCTGGCACTTACAATCTTTCTGAAGTGCACTTGCACTCTTCTGAAATCTTCTCTGAGCCTTAGGTACAGAATTTTATTGTAAATATACTAATTGAAGCTGGGTACACAATGCTCACTTTTTTTCTTCATTTTTAGATTTCTATAGTAGATTCCATCTGCTATTAAAAAGAAAGGAAGGAAGGAAGTTCTTTGATGAGGGATAAGAACTAGTTATCTGTAGGTAAATTATTCAGAAAACTGCTAGAAATTATACTGATTTATGAAAATAGCAATAATAAGTTCTCCTCTAGGATTTATCACATCATCAGTCAAGGGTAAATTTACAGTAAATTTACAGTACCAGACATACATTTTATCCCTTTATTTATCCTTTAAGTACAATTAGACAGATGTCATTTGCCCCCAACATAAAAGTGCCACTGTTGCCCAATTAAGAATATCCCACCAGCTTACTCTCCTGGTTTGCAGGCTTTAAAACAGGATAGGATCATTGGGTTTTTTCCCCTTGGCAATTTGTATAGCACCTTCTGATACTATGACAGCTAGTCCTCAGGAGGAGGTTTTCTGGTCAGTTACAACTCAATTCCTCCAATTCATGTGTGTGGAACATGTTATATATTCTGCAATGTGATCTTGCCTTCAAGTTTAGGAGACAACCAAGAGCAATGTGTTAACTGATGGGAGATGCCATTATGTATATATGTTTCTCATACTGGTTAATAATAAAGCACTGTTGGCCAATAGGAAAGGAAGATAGGAGGGACTAGGAGACAAGGAGGAAATAGGAAGTAGTAAGAAGGAGTCAAGATGGAGAGTCTGAAGAAAGTAGTATGCCGCCAGCTCCCCGGTAAGAGAAATACATAGATCAGCAGAAATGGGTTAATAATTAAGGCAGAGCTAGCCGATAAGAAACAAGTAACAGGGCCAACAGCATTGAATCAAATACAGAGTTTCTGTGTGTTATTTGGGGCTGGTGCGGCAGCATGACAAGACCAGAGGCGGCAGGCAGAAAAACCGTACACGTTACAGTTAACCTGCATTTTCTGAGAGCATCTTGGACCACACACACCTATTATCAACAACTAGAAGAGAGATTTCCTATGCCTGGCACTACAGATGTGTCAGATAATCTAGGATCCTATCGGTTGTGGGGGGAACCATTGAATCTCAATTTCTCTCATCAGTACAAATATAATATTTATCTGTCCTGCCTGACTTATAAGCACACTAAGAAACCCAAAAGATGAACAGAGTGTGTTCAATTCAGTATGTAAAACGAACTGACCATTCAGATTTTGTTTTATTAAGTATTGGTCCTTAGCCAATGTGCCAATGAGCCTTTGCTTCCATTGAACCCCATGTTAGTCATTCCAGATAGATAAATAGGGATAATTTTTAGTCTGAATGATACAGAAGACATAGTATATTTCTATAGCAAAATACAACAGACTGGGTAGTTTGCACACAGAAACACTTTATCACAGTTTTGAAAGATGGGAAGCCCATAACTGAAACACTGAATGAGGGTTTCCCCATTAGCAGAAATGTCTTTCTTGTTCTACAGTTGGAGGAGAGAAACAGACTGTCCTGGCATTCTATTCCTTTTTTATTTATTTAGAGAGGGGAGGTGAATGCCCATGTGTACTCAATATGGCATGTATGTAGAAGCCAGTGAACAATTTAAAGGAGTGGTTATAGTGGTTATATCTTTATTCTATGGGGTCATGGGATTAAAATAAATCAGGTCATCAGTTATGGTGGCAAGTATCCTTACCTACTGAGCCACCCCACTGGCCCTCGGAGTACTTTTATAAGGACTCTTGACTAGGGCTAAGGGCTATCATGACTGAATTTTATCCAAATGCCTTGTCTCTTATTACCATCACAATGTGAATCCTTTATACAGAAAAAATTTTCAACAAATGGATTTTAAAGAATAAAATAATAATTTTAGACCATAGGAATAAAAGGGGGAGGGAGATATCCATTTATTCCATTAAATTTCTTTGATCTTTTGCTCAAGTTATCAGGCTATCCTAGGGCTTAAAGCCCTAGAATTTTGTGCTGTGGGAAATGCTTTTGGGTTTATCTCTTTTACTTAAATGAAAATGTATGCCCTTCTCTGTCATATTATTTAAAATCTAAGTTTTGTAATGCCCTGCAAGGGTCATATCTGTCCTAGTCCTAGGCTTAACCATAAGCCATAGACCTCTACCACAACAAAGCAACATTAACCTATGTATAGGGGCCAATTTGCCCCCACGTTTCTTCCACTGACAGGATGGACTTATACTTGGGATGTCAACCCTAGTAGTCTCAGCCTGTTCTAGAACAAAGCAGTGGCTGGACAATGCAGCTATGAAAGAAATCAAAATATTACACATCTCCAGATGAAGAATATTAGGAGGAAGATAGATGATACAAAATGTATTTCATAATATGTGTCTCATATTTTTTAAAAGGTGAAAATGTTACTTCTGGACAGTGAGTTTATTATTGGGAGATCTACCGGTCATCAAAGCAAATATCATCTAATACATAATGATCAGTTCCAACATCAGTTAGAATAAAAGAAAAAATGACTCTGTAGACAAACAACTTCCAGTGAAGCCAGTGGCAGCTATGGAAGTTTTCTATTCAAGATGCTAATAAACATCCTACTCTATGTCTTCCCATGAAAGTACTAGCAGAAATTTCTAGCCTGAGAAAATTCTGGGCAATCTGAAATTTCAGGTTATGTCAAGCTAAGGCTGTACTCAATTTACTTCAGATTAAGAGTGGGAAACCCCATAAGAAAGTATCCAGTGAGACACTGTAAGCCACTTAAGAATTGCCAGGAGTCTTTTCAGAATGGGGCTGATATGTCCGATAATTGCAAACTGACAGAAGTAACAAACATGATTAATTGTGAATGAAAAGAGAAAAGAATATAAAGAGGAAGGAGGAAATAAAAGGGTGAGTCCCTGTTCTGACGAACCAATCAGGAAGGCTTCAAAAGCCTTTTTCAAAAGAATGGTTCGTTTGGTTTTGACAGGAAACTGGAGAAAGTTATGCACTTAATGTATACCTTCATCTCTCCACTTTCCTCTATGCTGGGGTCCACAGCTATTCTCCCCACAACAGGCAATACAAATGAACTTCTAGCTGCCTATCAATAGTTTTAATGAGACACCACCAGTTTCCTTGCCATCTGTTACTTGTCATAGTTTCTATTGTGTACATGTCTTTCCAAAGGAGAAGCAGAAGTTTCATGGCTGTCTGGTAAGGCAGGCATGAATGAAAATCTTAAACAATGGACAACTGACATGAAGATAGCTGACAGTTACAGATCATGTATCCTCTATAGGAGCAGGATTTGTGGTAGTGGTTCAGTGGCTCTGAGCTACTGTCATTTGCATTTCTACTTGTCTAATTCAGTGCTAGGAGAAGCCCTGGTGTATTGTCACCAAGCATATCTTTGTCTGATGACATTTGGGGAACTTTATTTTCTTTCACTGAGTTGAATAGAATTTGTAGACTTTCATCGGGAATATAATGACAAGGAGAACTATGTGCCTTAAATGTTAAGGCATGTTTACTATAAGCATTCTGTCTTTATGTGTCCAGAGGGCAGGGCCAGTATCTGCAGTGGACACTAATCTATCTGGCTTGTATCTATTTTTAGAGTCAACATTACTCAGAGTCGAAGCTCTCACTCCTTGAACAAACAGCTCATCATTAATATGGAGCCCTTACAGCCCCTGCTTCCTTCCCCCATTGAACAGGAAGAGGAAGTTCCTGTGACTGAGGGTAAGTCCACCATTTTATTCTAGAAGCCTCCTTTCTGAGGAAGAGGGAATTTTTGAATCAAAATATTTCTAAGCCAGGCAGTAGTGGTGAACAACTTTATTCCCACCACTTGAGAGGTAGAGTCAAGTGTGTTTCTGTGAGTTTGAGGCAAACCTGTTCTACAGAGTAAGCTCCAGGACAGCCACGGAGACACAGAGAAACCTTGTCTGGAAAAGCCATTATTTCTAAAATTACTTGTGAAAGAAATAATTGTGCAAGACATGCATTGTTAAGTAAAACAATTCCTTTTAGTGGCTTTGAAATTCAATTATAATCCATTAAAATTAAAACCCATTCTTTCAGTCACCATTAGTTAGGGTTTTTATTGCTGTAAAGAGACCATGACCATGGCAGCTCTTATAAAGGAAAACATTTAATTGGGGCTGGCTTGCAGTTTCATAGGTTTAGTCCATTATCATCATGGCAAGACATGGCAGCATGCAAGCAGACATGATGATGGAGAAGTTCTACATCTTGATCTGCAGGCAAGAAGGAGATTATGCCACAGCTTGAGCATATATTAGACCACAAAGCGTGCTTCCATAGTAACAGACTTCTTCCAACAAGGCCATATCTACTCCAACCGGCCAGTTCTCCTAATAGTGCCACTGTCTACAGGCTAAGCATTCAAACACATGAGTCTTTGGGGGACCATAACTATTCAAACCACCACATGGTATAAGGATGTACAAAAACAACAATCTCTGACTCTGAATTTCTCATGCAAACTGCTCAACCTGTCTGGTTCTTAGGTTTGTTTTCCATTAACATTTCATTTGTGTAGAAATCTAGAGTCACAAATACACATGTACTTTATCTTTTCTCCATAAGTCAGACACATCTTTCTCATCCTTCTTTAATCAACCTTGGTATACCACAAGACCATCACAAAAAGTTAACTATACTCAAATAAATATTCCAGGAACATGAAATGAAGCTGACAAATTTGTTAGTGATCCATGGGGCTTGTTTTGTGATAGCCAACTATTCTGGGCATGGGATCTGCCCTGGAATGGTTGAAATACCAAGTGCCACTCTAATGTAATTGACAAAAAAAAATTTTTTTTTCTTTGTCAGTGGGTATCAATTATAAGCACCTTTTTGGTTAGGAGTGAGATCTGTGTCTACTCCTTCTTAGTTTTAGGACTCCATCTAGCTTGATTCTGCTTAGATCCTATGCATGCTATCAAAATCTCTGTGAGTCCATATGCACATCAGTCCAGTTGTGTTTGGAGAACACTGTTTCCTTAGAGTCATTGTCATCTCTGGCCCTTAAAATTTATCAGCCTCTTTTCCCATATAAATCCCTGAGCCTTAAGGGAGGGGTTTGATGAAGATATCCCATTTAAGACTGAGTGCTCTAAAGTCCCTCACTCTCATACATTGTCCAGTTGTGTTAATTACCACCTACTTTAAGAAGATTCTCTGATAAAGGTTTAAGCAATGCACTGATCTATGAATATAGCAGTGTATCATTCAGAGTCATTTTATTACTACATACCTTTAGCAGAATAAAAGTAGCTTTCCCCTAGGTCCATGACCTATTGAGTCTCAGGGTGTTAACTACTTCAGCATTGTCCCATATGGATTTCATCTCATAGAGTGAGATTTAAATGCAATCAAGAGGTGGTGAATTACTCCCTTAACATTTGTGCCACTATTGTACCAGTATATCTTGCATCTAGGTTAGTGTTGTAGCTTACAGAGTTTGCAATTGGATGATATTAATGACTAATGTTTTCCTCTGGTAAGACTGAGAGTAACTATGAGCATCATAAGTGCTAGTCAATAGGGAAAAGGTTGTAGTTGGACACCAGCTCAACTTCTCTGTGTTCACTGACGTAAGTGTTTTCTTCAGCATCAGATCTTTATAGATGGAACTTTTTTAAAATGGAAAAACTGCTCCAAGCCACATTATGGTACTGACCCTGAAAATATATGTATGTAAGGATGGGTGTTTATGTTCATATTAATGAAAGAAATAGCTTTCAATGTAAAGGAAATTTTTGTCCTAAAGCTAAATATTAGTGGCCTCAGAACACAGATATAGAGCTTCATACACACCATATTCAAATAAGATAGCAGCAACTTCATGAAGTTATTATACTTCTGTTACTATAGAACAAAGAAATAACACACTTTTCAAATACATTGCTAGGTGCTTTGGGTAGGCAGGTTACAGAAAAAGCTGAGGAAAACTCTGCTACTGGCTTTAAGTTTTCTCTGACAGCACTTTGGCTAGCAGAACTAGAAGTCCTCTTATACATTCTAAAGGAAGTACCTAATATCACAAAGGGAGTGGAAGGTGCATTCAGGATGTATTGTATGAGAGAACAATAAATAATTTTTTAAAAAAGAATTTGAAAGAAAAGAAGCATAAACTTGAATACTTTTAAGCTGGGGCATCACCTTAGGCATGCACATAGAAGTTATTAAGTTATTTTATATTTTGTTAACAGAGTGGTGAACATCAGCAAAAACACATTTTGTCTCTGACAAAAAAAAATGTTCTGTTGTAGCCTAACAGGTTCTTCTCATTGTCCATTATCATCTTTGGCTGCTTAGTGTGAACATATTCCATTCTTCTTCCTCCATTTCTGAGATTTCATAGCAAGGATTCAACCAATGCTCCCTCTTTGACTTGCACAGATACAGTGTCTTTTTCCCACACCTGTCTCTCCATGTACTAAGTTAGTTCTTTCACATGGCTCAGTATGTTGGAATATATTATTCAATAGCAATGCATTAGCCTAAAATTTTCTTTTTTGTTATTGTTTTGGTTTGGCTTAGTTTGGTTTGGTTTTTTTCAACAGGGAACTAACTAGCTCTGTGTACTGGGCTAGCCTCCAACTCACAGATACCCACCTGTTTTGCCTCCTGAGGGCTGGTATTAAAGGCATGCACAATTACTGCCTGGTTTCCAATTTATTTTATGGTCCATGAAATAAGAGGAGCTGCTTATTAATCCTGTGGAGCCACCTTCTTATAATTACTCTTCACCCAGGCATGGCAAACCCATCAACACTAATTTTAATTATGTTCCTTCCCATCAACACCAATTTTAATTATATTCCTTCCTACCACAAAATTTTATGATTATTTTATACCATATAAAAATACATCATCTTATAGAACATAAAATAGAAAAAAATAAAACAAAAACAAAAGCATCATCTTCAAAATAGTGAGCTTCCTGGATGTAATAAGTGCTATTAGTATCTATCCCTGTAAGCATTAATGTAGTTGTGATCATCCCAGGTAGATTTGGACTAATCATCATATTGGGACAGCTTTCGAACAGTGAACAAGAAACACATTTAGCATAAATGCAGAAGATAGGTTAATATCCCAAGTTGGATATAATTCATAAAACATCATTGCAGCATTGGCAAGAATCCTTTGTTCATCATCAACTTTCCCACTGAAGAACAGTAACTACTGCTGGTAAACTACAGGACTTAATAGTCTGCTGAAAAGCTGAGAGTAACTTCTGCTTTAAATGATAAATGTAGTATTGGGTGTGCTAAGCCAAACTCCAAAGCCCGTTGTCATACCAACTGATTTCTAGAAGGCAGCACTTCTGTTTGGTTCGGCAACTCCTCCAGTAAAGGAATGCCTAGAGCGGCTCAGCAGACACAATAAAGGCCCAAGCATGATCTGCAGACAACATCATGTAGTGTCTCCAAAGATCTTTTTTTTTTCCCTTTTGTGTGTTATTCTTCAGAGCTGTTCTCATCTTTGGAAGGGTATTTATTACTTACTGACCATTTATGTGCTAGTCAAAAGTTTATAATAGAGATTCAACCATTTTTAAATGAGCAACATTCAACCATTTTTAAATGATGTCAAGGTTAAAAAGTTCAAGACTATGACTCAAAAAGATTTTTAGCAGGTTAAGGTCCTTATATAATGGGCTAAACAAATGTATATTTCTTATAATGGATCTCAGAAGGGAACTGTTCTATGCCATGTGATTGATGTAGTCTGGCTGTCCATGATTTCTGGGTAACAGGGATGGATTTATACTGCTCAAGTCTGGCTTTACTTATAAACTATGAAAATGTGATGTTCTCCTTCATGTCAGTAAGCAGCTTGGTGAGGAACAAAGACAGACTAAGACTTGTATTTCTTCTTTTGTCCCAAAGTAGAAATAGAGCAACAATGTGAATCTCTATTATATTTCCAATGAAAAATACTGTACTTCATAAAATGAGGTAATTTGAAACATCAGCCAATGACAGAACTGATGTACACTGTTGTCACCATTGAAATGTTTACACTGAGGAACATTGTACTTCACAATGAGCCGTAATGAGAATTAGTTAATACAGAATGTACAGAATGCACAGAATGCAGTGTTACTTTCTTGTGATAGTAACATAATATTTGGAAAACAAAATTCACATAGATTTCATTAGAAATAAAGCATTTACCATTATGTACAATAAAGGAAATAACAAAATTTGAGTGATTTCTTTATAGTGTTGTAAACTTTTGGTTAGCACATAAATAGACCATAGCTAGATACTGAAGATGGCAAATGTACAGCATCTTCCTTAACACCATGACTTGAGACAAAGGCCTGGAGGATATTTTCTTCTGTTAATAGGGGTCCTGCTAACAGACAACAGGTCAAGGCTGTTCAAATATGTTCAAGGTACATCCTGAACATGCTTACCTGAAGCTGTGGGCTCATCAGCTCTCCAATATCAAAGTGAGCAACCCAAATTTAGGGAAGGGGGACCTGCTCTGTATCACCACAAACAAATGTTTTTCTGACACTGTGGTCCTTTTCCCTATCTGTCATGGATCTGTCTAGGTCCTAGATTCTCTTTACATATAGTTTCCAGGGAAGGGTGCTCATTCAGGGGAAGAGGGTTAAGAAGAAGCACAGAATTTTCTGAAATGTCTAGCCTCTGATAAGGACAAGAATACCAAAAGGGCAAGGTCATTTCCAGTTT